CATGAAGCAGGATCTATTGATATTTCTCCTTGTCTAGCGTTTGGAATGTCACCATGCCTTGCCGGCATCCCCCACGTCGCTGCAAGACCTAGAATCACCTTAACTGTCGACACATCCATGACGGCAGCGAAAGTGATCGCATAGTTTATGCCAAAAGTTTGCTCATTCCCGCACGCAACTAGTGATTGCTATAATCGCCGGGACAGCCGTCGCATGCGGTGAGAAATTTACCCGCTGACACATTTCAACCGTGCGCACAGATGCGTTCACCCATTTATACATGTCTTACCATTACTACATAGCGCACAGAGAGCAAAATGTATTTTCACCAACGAAGGGGTCATTTTAAGGAGAATATATGCCTCGTATAGTCTTTTGAGCTTAACATCCTCGAAGCGAGGGACACTACACGCTGAATGTGATGTAGTATTCCTTGGAATTATTTTAAGCATTGCAAGTGTGCAACCGCGTACTCTGGTGAACCGATATTGCCATTCTAAGACTTCTTATATTGCAAAGCTTCTAGCAGCACAATACAGATTATATCTGACCCGTACGCAGTAAGTATCGCGTCATCGATGAGCGACATCACTATTGTGACAGCGCCCGCGGTGGGGGTCGTGCGAAAGTGCGTAACCTACCGCATCAAGCCGACCCGACTTCTACCTTACCTTAAAGGTCTAGTTGGAAAATAAGATCACTATCGTTCCATTGTCATTAGAGGTGTGGTGACGTTATTGGTGTGTGCAATGCCGTGTGATCTAAATATTCAGTTTCAGCATGTGCACGCTACGCTTGACATATGCATACCTTATAGTGAGTAGCCCCTGATCGGGCGCCTGCTATCTCCGTTTGCTACTTATATTCGGCACGACCCAAATGTGAGCACAAATCTATGTCCATCAGTGGAGTAAAACGCAGATTGTTGCAGATTTCATGACTGATCGATAAGTATTGAGAAACTTACCCTTGGAACACGCATGAGACTTTGCCAGGAAGCCTTCAAGGTCGCTCTGCCGCTTTTAAGGGGATTGATACCCTATTTGGCGAAATTTGATAGAATTTGTGCCGTGTTTGCATAATCTATATTGTATTCATACAAGTAGTTGATCAGGCTAAGCCACATTCTTAAGTCCCTTCAAGACAGGAGCACCGACTTTTATTTTTGGCGCGATTTGTACGCAGGCCATGTTTCTCCTCGAAACAACAGAGAAAAACACTCTCGTCCGTTTGAAGGACACACCTGTCTCTTCAACTAGAGTTTTTAAAAGCACATCGATTTAAGCACTTTTTGCATGTGATCCATGTGGTTCTTCATATTCGACTTTCCGTGCTCTGCACGAATGTGAGCGCATGAATTGTCGAAGATGATTTACAATATGTGGCGTTAACAGCTACGAAACCGGATGATTAAGTATCGCTGATGTATGTGGCAGTTGCTGTTGAATGACAGCCTTTTTCAAGATAGCCCGCCAGAATTACTCAGCGCAACGAGACAATTTGCATGAGCCGTGTTAGCACGGAAAGTCCGCGCCGAGAGGACTTTTACCGTTTCTCACCCATCCCACTTACGGGATGAAGTCAACCTTAAAATAAACTTACTTATCCTGGAACAACGAGCATGACAGTTGTGTTGTCGGCGCGTCGTAACATATTTTTACAGATAAAAAGCATCCGCTGTAGTATAAATGATAGCTGTCAACGTCCTTGCACTCATACCTTAGAGTGTCTATGCAATGATAGTTTTATTTATGACGGATATAAGGCTCGGTGACCTCACCGTCTTCTGATTCCTTGCTTTTTTGCCAAAAAACAACTCTTTCATCTCTATAAGATTATCTGCTGGAGGTATTGAGGATGGACTTACAGCTTCTTGGACGGCCCCGGTCGCTCCATTTACAAACAGGTCGATAATGTTTCGCTCCACTTACCCATGTGCTTCACTGCTCAGCGCGGTGCACGGTAAAGCCGACTTAGCAAAGCCATTACAAAGTAACAAGGTTTGAGAAACCCCTCGTGACTTTAAGGCCTGACCACTCTATATGCTACCTGCGGTATCCCTTCAATTTGACCACAACAAACACGAGAGACTACAACACCCAGTAGCGTCTACACTTCTATAGATCTGTCACAGAAGACGCCAGATTACATCTGCTATTTACCGTCCTATGAGATAGATCACAGTGGAGAATCGTTTCGACCCGTCTAAACAAAGATTTTCGCTTCACTGTGGTGATTGTACTATTCCTTTGCTTTATTCTTTCCTATGATAGGAACTCACTACCGCTTCTGCCTATCGATTCTGCTCCAAACATTAGGCAATATCATTTCAAAACCATTCAAACAATTTTATATCTTCTTTTGAAGTAACTGGAACCTCATGCCCACGCCAAAAGCTCTTTTGCCTCTATTCAAAGCGAGTTTGCAACGCTATAGACTGCACCAAGAAAAGGTGCGTGGCATTTAACTGGTTCACCTTCCAGTCTATTCACGGAAGGTGAATCGGCAGTATTTACCACATTGAAAACGGACTCTTTGTGTCAGGGCTTCCTCTGTGCGTGGTGCACGTCAACCTCGTCGCATGCACCACTAAAGCAAGCGAGATCGTTGGATGCAGTGATTGCTTGCCTTTATAAAGCAATTGTTAAATAATATCCTATTTAAGGACCGTCTAACAAAGACCCACTGCCACTGATGACTTCATGATAGTGGTATTCTATCGGATCACGAGGGCAGATTTTACCTCAATCGGACCGGCGCGACGTAGCGTCTTATCATTGGTTGAAAATATATGTCAATACGCCTTCTTTCCAGTTAAGTAGGCCAAAAACGCTTGAATCTGCCGGCTCGAGGAAAGATGGTATAGCTTGTCTGTGCGATCGTTGGTGTGGCGGGAAGCGCTTTCCCTGTGGACACAGACGCGAGCCAGCTGGTGGGAGACTTGAAGAAGGCGATCAAGGAAGAAAAGCCGATCGATTTTAGGGACATCGACCAGACATGTTTGAGCTCTCTCTGGCGAAGAAAGACGGCGCTTGCCTGACGTCTTGCTCGGAAGATATCAAGAAGCTAAAGAAGGGCAAGAAAATGGCCCTCATCGAAGCGCCGATGAAGTAGGACTAAAAGCTACAGGCGAAGGACTCGATGGAGTACGTGCTGGAAGAAAATAATATGTCCACCCCACAGTCAAGACAGATTCACGTGTTGGTCGTGATTCCAGCTAAGCAGCGAGCTGCTTCAATCAAGAAGCAACTGCGATACAAGGGAATGAGCACCGAATTTTCGTGTCGTAAGTTCTTGGATGCATTAGCGAAGAATCTTGCCAAGCTGTACGATTCGACAATTGGCGAAGTCTTCAGTGCTGTCAAAAATGATTAATGGGGTATTTGTCTGCAGAGTGGGAGGCAATTGACCAGTGAACCATTGCCACTTCTTCATCGAGGACGAGTGGAAAGACCTCAAGGATTTGAATTAACGTACAGATCGCCGTATTCACGATGGCAAGGTTCCCACAACCAGCAAAGGGAAATCATACGTCATTCTCCCACACGCAATTTTCAGTGATGATCGAATCGACAGATACAAAACTATTGTGACTAGGGCAAACGTGGTGTTCGAAGCAACCGAGCTCGCAGTGAAAAGATGAAGATGAGTTCTCGGGTTTGTGGGTGTCCCTGTCCTTCCTCCTTGAGTAACACGAATCACCGTCGTTGACTATGCCAACCAAGCATGTGAAAGGCGAGTATAAGCATCTAGGCCAAGCAGACCGATGCGATGGACAGCAAACGCCGCCAGTCCAACCGGCCAACAACCTTAAGTATCGTGTGAATATTCTTATCCAAAATCCTTCATTTTGCTTAAAACCTCCAAAAATGTATAAAGCCAAATATTT